TGACCCCTGGACACTATACACTATGCTGTGCATTAGATAGCCCTGACCCCTGGACACTATACACTATGCTGTGCATTAGATAGTCCTGACCCCTGGATGCTATACACTATGCTGTACATTAGATAGTCCTGACCCCTGGACACTATGCTGTACATTAGATAGTCCTGACCCCTGGACACTATACACTATGCTGTACATTAGATAGTCCTGACCCCTGAATTCAATACACTATGTTCAGATCCCTCTACTTTATGTTTATGCATATGTTGTACACTATACACTCCTGTGCTCTATATGCTATGTTGTAGGTTACTCCTGACCCAAGCATTCTATACACCATGTTGTTTGTTATTTAGTCCTGACCCCTGGATGCTATGCGCTATGCTGTATATTAGATAGTCCTGACCCCTGAACTCAATGCACTATGTTGTATGCTATATACCTCCTTGTTCTATATGCTATGTTGTAGGCTACTCCTTAGCCATGCATTCTATACATCATGTTGTACCTTAGATAGTCCTGACCCCTGAACTCAATACACTATGTTGTACATTAACTAAGTCCAGACCCCTGCACTCTATATACTGTGTACATAGTGCTAACTGCACTTTATATACTATGTTTTTCATTACATAGTCCTGATCCCTGCACTGTATATTGTTAGGTTATATGTTACATGTCCTGACCACAGTGTTTATACTTGCTGAGTAGTACCCGTTGCTGAGTAGTACCCGTTGCTGAGTAGTACCTGTTGCTGAGTAGTACCCGTTTCTGATTAGTACCTGTTGCTGAGTAGTACCCGTTGCTGATTAGTACCTGTTGCTGAGTAGTACCCGTTGCTGGTTGCTGAGTAGTACCCGTTGCTGAGTAGTACCTGTTGCTGAGTAGTACCCGTTGCTGGTTGCTGAGTAGTACCCGTTGCTGAGTAGTACCCGTTGCTGAGTAGTACCCGTTGCTGGTTGCTGAGTAGTACCCGTTGCTGAGTAGTACCCATTGCTGAGTAGTCCCGTTGCTGAGTAGTACCCGTTGCTGAGTAGTACCCGTTGCTGAATAGTACCCGTTGCTGAATAGTACCCATTGCTGAGTAGTACCCATTGCTGAGTAGTACCCGTTGCTGAGTAGTACCCGTTGCTGAGTAGTACCCAAAGGACGTTATCCTTTACAGTGGATTCAGACAGAGTGTTAGCTCTATGTCTATATTCTGTGCGCAGGTAACGATGACATGGTATTTAGAGGTAATTTGTGTTTGCTTTGGGCTGAAAAATATATGGGTGTATACCCCAAATAGTCTGGCTCTGCCCGTGCCCCTTTAAGCCATGCCCTCTGTGTCTGTGCGCCCCTCTTTCTCTAAACCTGGGAGATCCATAATAAGCGCATGCATACTAAGTAATGTTTACATCTAACACTTCCAGGTATGTATTACCTCTCACAGTGATCACGATGCCTTCATCTGCTTCTTTTCTCCCGGGGGGGAGGGGGGGGGCATCATCTTTGTTCAGGGTCACCATCTACTTCCTGGACTGGCTGCCATCTCACAGATGACGCAACCTTTAAATCTTGGTGTCTGTTCAGTTCTTTGCAAATGCTTGTCACCGATCCCTGCTAAAGCCTCTCACCTTAGGTGTCCTGCTACCACGTTACAACATACTGTCCGATCACTGGGGGAGGGGAGACTGGGGAAACACTCTGTCCTGTCTGCAGTAGACCGATGCCATCATCTGAGCCTGAATATCCATATTAATCCCATAGACTCGGGCTGAGAGTCGCCTTCAGCGGATAGAAACAATGTTGCAGAGCAGAGTCCAGAAATAAATTCATTTTTCCTGTTTTGCAACATTGTTTCTATCTGCTGAAGGTGATTCTCAGCCCCGGGCTATGGTGTTGATGATTGAAAGGAGCAGTTGCTTAAAGGGGAACTACACCCTCCCATCCTTTGCAGCCAAGGAGAGCGCCATCTTGGCCTCTGTTTGGATTGCCTCTGCTATAGTGCTGCACATGTGATCAGATACGACACCGGCCATTTGGGGGCTCGAAGGTTTGGTAGAGAGCTGCACATGTGATCAGCTATGACACCGGCCATTTGGGGGCTTGAAAGTTCGGTTGAGAGCTGAAATAAGCACACAGGCAACCTTGACAGTCGCCATACCTTGAAAGTAACTGCTTTTGGAGACTGGTAAACTGGTGCATCAAGTTCAGTACTTTGATTTGGTGTTAATCACTTGCAGTGTCCTGTGCAGCAGGGCTCAGACTGGGGTAGGGAGAAGCAGAATAAGGAGCCAATTAGATGTGCTGCACTGCAAGTATCATGCTGATAGGAAGAGAGAGCAGAGTGACAGAGAGATGAGCTCATCACTATGCTATGGCATGATCAGAAATACAAATCGTTAGACGGGTAAACCAGCTCCCATGTATGTATTTCATCCGTGTCGTTATCTGTGTGCCTGGAGCTTAGCTTTTATCATCTGAAACAGTGTTGGGTGATACTCTGAAAGCCATAAACAGCAGATCTTATATAGCATGGGGGTAGGAAACCTCAACACTCCAGCAGTGGCGAAACTACTAATCACATCATGTCATGTCTGTGGCTGTCATTCTTGCAATGCCTCGTGGGACTTGTAGTTCCACAACAGCTGGGGGGCTGAGGTTCCCTGATGTAGCATGTTTGTAGAGACGTCGGCTGTAGGAAGCTGTGTCCAGATGCGCAATATACACCACACACATAGGATTTCTTCTATGTCTATGAGTCGGTAACACCAAACCTGGAGAGGGTGAAAAGACCTCCTAGTAGCTCAAGCAATGACTTTCTGAAAGTCGGTATTTACATAGTGCTAGGCATCCCTCCCCCCACACCTTGTTTGGGGGGGTAGGGGGGAGAGAAAAAGAGAGAGAGAGAGAGAGAGAGGAAGAAAGAAAAAGAGGAGAGAAGCAAGGAAGAGAGAGAAAGAAAGGAGAGAGAGAGAGAGAAAAAGGAAAGAAGAGAGAGAGAGAAAGGAAGAGCAATAAAAGGGGAGGAGAGAAAGAAAGAGTGAGGGGGGAGAGAGAGGGAGAGAAAGGAAGAACAATAGAAGGGGAGGTGAGAGAAAGAAAGAGTGAGGGGGGAGGGAGGGGGAGAGAGAGAAAGAGAAAGGAAGGGATAAAAAGGAGAGAAATAAGGAAAAGTGAGAGAGATAGAGAAAAAAATAGAAAAAGAGAGAGAAAGAAAAATAAAGGGAAGGAGATAAAGAGAGAGGGAGGGAAAGAGAGAGACATAGAAAAAGAGAGATGGAAAGAAAGAAGCTTCACCTGCAAACTGTGAAGATAAATTGCTCCTCAGTGCTTGGAGCTACAGAGGTCAGTGGGGGCACAGAGCAGTTACATAGGGGGTAGGGGAGAGAGATAAGTGCCAAGTCTCTAGTTCCAGGGTAGGCAAACTCCGGCCCCCCAGCTGTGGACTACAAACCCCAACAGGCATGACTACCAGAGGCAGACGCATGATGGGATCTTTAGTTTCAGCACAGCTGGAGGGCCAGAGTTTGCCTACTCCTGCTCTAGTTATAGAGGTTTACAGCTTCTGTTGTGAACTTTGAGGATGAATTGCTCCAGAGGCTGCAGCTACATAGGTCAGTGAGGGCTTTCCTTTTGAAGTTTATGTAGTGCTGGTGAGATATTGTAAATATCGGACTGTCCATAGCCCGGCCAGACTTCTACTTTAAAGCAAACGTGTTGCTAACAAATTAAATTAATAAATATAAATACAAAAGATGAAAAAGGGCGAGGTGTAGAAGAACAGCACAGATACGCACCGGCCCCACTGTAGATGGCTCCAAGCTTTGCAGATATACATCTGCACCACACTTCACTCATTGGATGTACCAGTCATGGGACCGGCAAGTATTATTATTGTTCTTTGACAGGCAGCCCTTTTGGTACATTTCCAATTTCGGCCAGCGCTTACCTTTAAATGATCATACCACCCCTTCTCTCTTTTTTTTTTGTCATCATCCCCAGGCCCACAGGCTGTTCATGGGCCCAAATAACAACCATAACTCGTAATAAAATAGTCAGCTTTATTTCCTTAGCAAAAAAGTATTCATATGATATGTACAAACAGGAGCGGAGAGAAAGCTCTTTTATTAGCAGGGAAAATACCAACAGTATCACAGAACAAGGCTACAGCAGCCAAGACACCGGGTGGAGGGGAGGATTGGGCACATGCATCCAGAGCTACTCCAGAGAAGAGGGGGACCTCAGGCAGGGACTGTGGAGGGGGCTGTGGACCCCAAGGGCTTCAACTCTGTTATATTTTTTATTTTTTTAGCAGGGAGGGGGCGGGCTTACAAATATTGTGCTCAGAACAGAGAAAGGTACTTTTTTCTTCCTCTCATTTCCTTGAGTATCAGGACCTAACCCTTCAAGTGTATGCATTGTATCTGCTGTAATGAAAGCCATTATGTATGCTTGAGAGCGCAGACTGTAAATTCACAAGGTGGCACGGGGTTCCATATTGTCATGTGGTGACATCTTTCCTAAAAAAAATAATCACTGGGGGTTGGAATCCTCTTCATCTCATTGCTGTGCCTCTAGCACAGCAATGATTTAAGGAGGTTCCTAGATCCATCCCTGGGTTCCAAGATCCATTAAGGGTTGTAAACTTGGCACTAAGCCTTGAGCAATATGTGGGGCCATGGTGGATCCATCACAGGGTTCCTAGATCCCTCCCAGGGTTCCTAGATCCATCCCAGGTTACCTAGATCCATCAAGGGTTGTAAACTTGGCACTAACCCTTGAGCAGTGCGGGGAGCCATGTTAGATCCATCACAGGGTTCCTAGATCCATCAAGGGTTGTAAACATGGCACTTGAGCAGTATGGGGGGCCATGTTAGATCCATCACAGGGTTCCTAGATCCATCAAGGGTTGTGAACTTGGCACTAACCCTTGAGCAGTATGTGGGGCCATGGTACCCTTATTGTTCATAAAACTCATTACGTCTTGGGGTTAACATGATCTGCCTAGTGTTCATGAAATCTGGAACACGAGACATGTAGTCACTCTTGTGAATTAGCAGTCTGAACACTTGCATTCCTGTATAAAAAGAAAAGATGGCTGTACATGACAGGTAAACTTGCATTCCTCACCTGTAAATTTAGTCCATCATCCTAAGGGTTGAAGAACAACATATCACGGTCTAAAATATTCTACTGAATACCAAGAAAGTGAAATGTTTTTAGTGCAATAGTTTATATAGAATGAGTACCGAGTACCCCGATGCTAGGCTATTGAGGTAGGGGTACATTATTTTGGACGTGGGGCCTTGGAACTTTTTACAGAGTAATATGTATCCAAATCCTACAGTATTCCTGATCACCACCAGATCTCCAGTTTTTAGCCATACCTCTAAGAAAATAATTGACTGGACCACTAATATGTCAAATGGTTGACCATTAAAACAGTATGCAAAGTCACCTTCAAATAATGTAGTACTCTAAGGTAATACTGGACAGCAAAGGTGATATTGTGGAATCAGTCATTACACTGATATGCTCAGGCACTGAAATGTGGAATCTACTAGACAAAGAATTCATCAGTGTATGTTGAGTTGGTTTGGGTTGGATGACATCCATGTGGGTGAAGATCGTTTGGGGGATGCAAATTGATATTTGTCTATTAATTTTCTCAGCAGTTGTGTTGAATGGAGTTGGACTGGATTCACTGTCTGGGTTCAGAGGATTCTGAATGGGGACTGAGGTTATATCACTGGAAGACCTCAGGGTGGGTCATCAGGATCCTCTCGATATAGTTCTCCATCTCTTCCTGCTTATCCTGGTCTTCGGCAAAGTAGTCACTGTTTGGTGGGGCCGGTGGCTTATAGTAGTATCGGGGAGGGGTTTGGAAGGGTCGAGGCCTCATATAGCCAGCGAAAGGTAATGGGCGTGAGCGATATCTGCGCGGGACCGGTTCCAAATACTTGTTCCAGCTTGACGGGGGCACCTTATTCCAGGTGGGTTTTAGAATATCATTCCAACTTGACTCTGGCACCTTACGCCAGCTTGGGTCTGACAGCTTATTCCAGTTTGGTTCTGACATCTTATTCCAGGTTGGATCTGACAGTTTATTCCAGTCTGACACTTTATTCCAGCTTGGTTCTGACACTTTATTCCAGTTTGAGTCAGGTATCTTGTTCCAGTTTGAATCAGACACTTTATTCCAGCCGGGGTCTGTCAACTTATTCCAGTTTGAATCTGGCACCTTATTCCATCTTGAATCTGGCAACTTATTCCAGCTCGGCTTTGAAAATTTATTCCAGTTTGAGTCTGGAACCTTATTCCAGTTCGAGTCTGACCCTTTATTCCAGTTCGAGTCTGACCCTTTATTCCAGTTCGAGTCAGGCACCTTATTCCAGCTTGAGTCAGGCATCTTATTCCAGCTTGAATCTGGAACCTTGTTCCAGTTTGAGTTTGGGACCTTGTTCCAGTTTGAATCTGGCACCTTATTCCAGTTCGTGTCTGATACCTTATTCCAGATTGGTTCTGACTCCTTATTCCAGTTAGACCTTGATGACTTTGTCCAAATTGGCCCTTTCAGTTTGTTCCAGGTGGACGGTGACAGTTTATTCTTATTCCAGGTTGGATCTGATGATTTCTTCCAGGTTGTGTCTGATACCTTATTCCAAGAAGGTTCCTGTTCTAGTCTTCTTCTAGGATAGTAAGTAGCTTTTGGAGAATCTGGCCAAGATTGTGGGGGAGTTCTGGTTCTTTCGATTCTTCTTGCTATGAAATCATCTCTTGCTTTCTTCTTTTTCATCCTTCTCCTTTTCCTCTTTTCAACGTCATTGATGATATCTACTACATCGTCAGCAGGGAGATGTAATCGGCTAGATAGCTCAATCAGTTTATCGATAGTCTGTGGATCCACCTCATCATCATCTTCAGTTGACCGTTTCTCCAGTGTATTTTCTTCTTCATCCTCAAACAGAGGCTGTCGATCCCCCCCAAAGTCCTCACCTTGGTAGTCTTGTTCATTTTCTTTATTTTCTTCATCATCTTCTTCCTTTTCTTCCTCATTTTCCCCTTCATTTATTAGGTACTGAAGGAGAAGATCCTGAGCTACATTGGCAAGTCTGTCTCCTTCATCTTCTTCCCCCAATCTTCTGGAGGTGTGTGGCACAGGATTCAGGGGGCTCCTTTTATCTTCTTCTGTCTGCTCTCCAAATCCCAACATCTCTCTTATTTCTTGTAGATCATCATTCTCCGGACTGTCATTCTTATCAGGCTCCTGCTCTCTTTTTGGAGGGGGTTTGAAAGCTTCCAGTTCCTGCAGCAGGGACTTCACAGTTTCCATATCTCCTTCATCTATCTTTCCATCATCACTCAGTGACTCATCATCATCATCAGAACTTCTTGTTCTGCTCCTCACTCTTTCTGTTAACTCACTCTCGTCTATCTTGTCGATCTCCTGTTTGACAATCTGTTGGTCATCTACAGATGGTTTTTCTTCTTTGTTTCGAGGAGCCTGCTCTACTTCCTCTGTGTTGAGTGCTTGAAGAAGAACAGCCGCCAGAGCTTTCGGACTTATGTCTTTAAATAATTCATCTCCATCATCAGAAATGGATTCAGACTTGACCTCAGCAGTTGCTCTTTCTTGGATGTCTTTCCCCTCGCCATGCTGGCTTTGGGCAAGCGGTGGAGTTTCTTCGTGTCTCTCGGGTTGGAGAGAATGCTCAGAGTCACTGTGCGTGATCTGGTGATTTGCTTGGTAACTCTGCTCTCCGCTCACAGGGATAGCATGGAAAATGGAGGAGTGCACGAGGGTGAGGGTAAGGATGAGAAAGATAGGGGGAGCGTGGAACATTTCTGGGTAAATACAAGGAAGGTAAAGTAGGGGTTGGGATAAAGTAAATTTGTAAAACAAGAGGAAGGGGTAGGAAGATAAAGTAATAACATAATTGTGAACAGAATTAAATATTGATCAAATCAATTAACAAAAACATTTATAGATGAGGATGAAGGGGGGGGAGGGAGAGAGAAAGAGAGAAAAAGACAATGTGTTTATTGGCTGATAAAAGCATTAAAGCATCACATGATTTTAACTCACTGTTGATAAGAAATACATTCTTTCCTGGAAACAAGAAACATCAGTGATGGACCAGAGAGACTAGGTGGGGGTAGAGTGCTGTGCTAGCACAGACAGAGGGAGAGGAAAGAAGATGTATTGTGTCTGCGTAGGAGTAAGTGTGGAGGTGGAAGTGAGGAGAGGGGGGGTTGGAGGGAGATGAGAGAGGGAGTCCCATTGTGGAAATCCTTTAGGTCTTTCCCAAACCCCCTCCCTTTTTGGAATCCTGCAGGTGTCTCCTCCCGTTATAAAATTCTGCAGGTCTCTCCTACGTCTCGCCCCCCTCCCACCAAGAAATTCTGCAGGTTCCTCTAAATTCCCTCATTCACGTCGATGCAGAATTACCAAGGACTCTCCTTAATTGACAAGACACAATCACAATCAAGCAGCTCCATCCTTGTTTTCTCGAGTATGGCTTTCTGTGTATCTCTCACAATCTCCATTCTGTGCTGCACAATCATCCCGTGTCTCAGTCTCTCCTACCACCCACCTTTTCTTTACATTTCCTCATTATCAGTCATCATTGTTGCAAGTAGAAAGCAGGGACACCGGCACTCCAATATAAAGCAGAAGTCTTATTTATTTGAAGAAAAACAACATGTCACAAAATGCATTTTGTGACATGTCGTTTTTCTTCAAATAAATAAGACTTCTGTTTTATATTTAGTGCCGGTGTCCCTGCTTTCTACTTTATATGACGGTTGCTGTCCGTCGATCACCTCAGCGCCCGATCTTTTCTTCATGGAAACGAGCGGTCAGTAGTGCGATGGGTTCATGGATCTAATCATTGTTGCAAGCACGCACACAGCTATTTTCCGATATGACCAATTTGTCTTTCACGTACATAGAATGCTGCACTAGTTACTGACTCTACCTTGCTACACATGAAGGACTGCCATCAGTTTCGACACTGAATACAGACTCGTCCCGATAGCCATTAACCTTTTATGTTCTAGACATCTGCAGTTCCTGTTACTTCCGGCTCACCATATATGGGCATATCCCTCATTAATAACGACAAAAGATCCAGTCATTACTGAAACGACTGCCCACCCACAGCAACTAAAAATATTTCCTTTCGACTTATCTGTCCAAATCATTTTATTCTTGGGTGGCAGATGGAAGATTCTTACTTTAAACATGAGTGACTCCTGCAAAGGATAGCACATGTGTGTCCAGTTCTATATAAGCAACATTTGACATCACCACCACGTGATAAATAACTCAGTGCTTGGCCATTTCTACATCAGCTTTTCCATAGAAAGTGGCTTGTGGGTCACATGGGAGATTTATCTTCCTCAGATGGTGCTTGCAGCAGTCACTCAGGTTCAAAACTACCTACCAGTCTTAACATTTAACCAAGGCAGGTGTAATATCATTTATGTTATTTCATGGACGGTTATGCATTTACCCTTTTGTATTTAGCTATCTGGTGTTTAACTAATGGGTCAGTCCAACCAAAAACTGTTGAGTTTTTGGTACATGCTAACCTTGGGGGCACTACTGAAGAGATCTCCGTGCTGAATCCTTGTCTCTGCACCAATGCTCATTAAAAATGGCTTACACCATGTCTACTTGGTTATTATTTATTGTATATTATGCGGAAGGAGATGGAACACACAAAGCTGGGCAAAAACACTCAAATATCCTAGGTAGACGGACACAGAGTTGGGAATTATAGCAGGGAGATCTTGCTTTTGGAACCAGTGGTATTGACCGATCCTAATGGAACTTACCATCTAAATCCCCCACCATAGGATTGCCAGACCACGTTAAAATCAGTTGATATACGAGTGTCTTTTTGGATTGTGGGGAAACCCGAGGCAAAAATATGAAGGCAATGACATTGACCTAAGTCAGGTTGCAGAACTGCTCCACATAGGAAATGTAAGCCACACAGCCACAAGAAAATGTGAGCAAGAGGGGAACTTACCAGCTCCATACAGACTGTGTCCTTGTTGGGACTTGATCCCAGAGCATTACTTTTACAAAGGTAAACTGCTAACCACTTAGCTCTATGCCATGCTGCCACTGCATTCTTTACTACAGGCAGTTTGTAGGCACCTGACCATCACACCTATATGACCTTGTTGGCTATCCTATTCCACTTCCCATTCAGCCAAAAGAGCATTTGGGAGGTCAGGTGCGGATGTTGGATGTGTCGTCAAGCTATGTTGCAATTCAGCGCAAAGGTGTCCAGCAGGGATAATGGCAGGACTCTATGAGGGCCACTCGGGTTCCACCGCACCAAAGGTGCCCAACCATGTCTTTATCAAACTGGCTCTGGGAACAGCCATGCTGGAAGAGACACTGTTGCCACAAGGTTGGAAGCGCACGATTGTCTAAAATGTCTTTGCATGTTGTAGCATTGACAGTACCCTCCAGTGGAGTCACCTGAGCTCAAACAAGTGGACAGGTGTCAACATACTTATGATCATATAGGTAGGTGTGATAGTCAGGTGCCCACAAACGTTTGCCATATAGAGTATCTGTCAATATTTGCATTCAGAGTATTATTATTACGTTTACATTCCCCATTCACTTTAGGTGTTCAGCCTTACCAGCTGCATATTTTTGGCCAGAGGTGTCGTATACCAGTTCTCCCGGCCTCTACGAACCACCTAGCCAGTGGCTTGATTGACCTGGTAAATTTTACAATGTGGACCATTATAATCAGGTTTCCCACACAAAAGAAGTGAATAAGCATTTTTTGGCAGTAAGGGGGGCATTTCAAAATAATGAGGAGAAGACAAGTTGGACTTGCCTACTCCCTACAGCCACTACAGCCACTTTGATGGTACCATACCTGTGATCACAAATTTTGCTGGTCACGTAAGAACCATCACCTTGTATAAAGTAAAAGTGTGTAATGCAGAGGTTGGCCGCAGCGGAACTTTTCAGACTAAAAACATGGCTGACAAAACTTGCCCACAAATAACTTTGCGTGTAGGAGGAGTTTGGGCAAGACTTGGGGTGGGTTGTAGACCAAGCTATAATGCTTAACTGCAGTAGAGAGAAGTGAAGTCAGGAACCTGACTGTGTCATCTGGGGGAGATGTCTGGATTTAAAGACTGGCCACGCAGAAGGTCAAACCTTTTGGCCGGTCAGCCAGTTCACATATATGCATTTCAACTGGTATATATACCTGTTTGCCTGGAGTACAGCTGTCATTCTATATGGATTGTCTTACTATGGTCAGCTTTGTATATACACAACACTGCCCCGGTACAGGATATGTGGTTGCTGTAGGCTTAGTGTATCACCATTGACCAATGTGATTGGGCCCACAGTCAAGCGGGGTGTCCGTAGTATGCACAAAGCACCCTAGACCAAAGAAAAGTGGGAGAAGGTTAGTGAACCAAATAAACATTTTGTATATTTTGGGTTTGCAGACCCTAAAGACAATTCATATTTATCAGCTCCGTGGCTCTTTTACTATCAGGATTGTGTATCATGCAATAAAACGTGTGTTCCCGTGTTTCCGGTTCTCTTCTGCTCAGGAAAACCCTTCCAAAGAGAAACCTCTCTCACGGGAGCAGTTTGTCACTTGTCAGGGAACATCCGACATCTACTTGTATCTGGATCAGTGTCACGTACCATGCGTGGCCTGACAATCTGGGATTTCCCCCATCACGTTCCCCCTCCTCCCTTCCTCACAATCGTCTTAACTCTTGATCTGTTGCAGCATCCCATGTGCACACTCTGCCCGTAAACATATAGTGCGGACAACCGGCTTTTCCGGATCTACCATCTACATGGATACGGGAACAGGACACGCCTGGGTCCTCAGGAGAGGCATTTTATCTGCAAAATATGCTGTTTCTATAGGAACATTGGATGAGGATTTCGAAGCCCCCTCCTCTTCCTTTCCATCCCCCAGCCTCTGTACACAAGGATGCTGCATCAGACACTGCAGAGGCAGAGGTGTGTGGGAGTCTGCCCCCTCCAATTGGAAGGAAGGATTTCCCTCTGTTACTACACACAATGGGGATGCCCCGCTGCATTCGATATCGGAAGGGGGAGGGAATTTATCCAATCCTCTTCTAGCAAATGTTTAACTGTTTACTGTGGATCTTCCAGACACCAAAATAGGTTCCATAGAGCAAATGTACTCACCCCAAGAACAGAATCCCTTCTGGTAATGGGAAATATTCCAATTTGTACCTGACTTGCACGTCATTGAATAGCATATAATGTCTACATGTGCATATATGAGTTTGTATTTGACCCGTGGTCACCCATTGCTGGCTGTGAGAAGGAAGAGGGTGGGGCAGGTTTGTCAGCAGAGGAAGAACCCTATGGGGCAAAATCTTTGGATAGTCCCAGATCTCCAATCTGATTGGTCATGCTCTGTAAACCAGGGATTGAAACAGAACTGCACTGAAATCATCCCTTTTCAGGTCTCCATATCCCAGTCCATATACCACCATTGTCTCTATCACCTCCATTTCTTCCTTCCTCTATACCACCATTGTCTCTATCACCTCCATTTCTTCCTTCCTCTATACCACCATTGTCTCTATCACCTCCATTTCTTCCTTCCTCTATACCACCATTGTCTCTATCACCTCATGTATACCCCTATCTGCTCCATTTCTTCCTTCCTCTATACCACTATCTTCTCTATCACCTCATGTATACCATGCTGTATTGCTGTATTACTTCTTCTACATCATCACCTTCCCTATCGTTTCTCTGAAAACTGCTCTACGTCACCGGCTTCCCCGTGCCGTCTCCAGTGCCGCCTGCCTTGTGTTGAATCTGTTCCATCTAATCAGAGTCAATGTTCAGAGACGATTTGTTCTCTGTCATTCCCGAACTGTATCCATGCCGTCAGTGCTTCATCCACATTTCAGTGTACCGAATCAATTTCCACCCCGTCACAAAACGTTGACAGGCAGAAATGAAGCGACTGTTTAATAATTTGATGCGCCGGTGATGGATCCGTGATTGCGCCGGCTGCATGCAAATCTCTGCATATTGTTACATCGGCATAAAGCGGAAGGATCGTTACCTTTCATGGGAAGGGAGAAAGCCCGTCGTCAGTCACATTGATCGCTCCTGATTCATAAAGTAGCAAGAGCACTTTAGGTATGCTAAAACAGTGTGGACTGAGAGGCCACTATCGCATGCTTGAAGTACATGTTAGGATGCCTTCAGTGCTGCTTAATGCTTGTTGAATCAGGGGCACTGCCAGTGATATCTGTGACGCTTTGCATTTGATACATAAGACTTTCTTTCCAGTGTTATTGTCTATGATACCCAATCATGGCTAGCAAAATGCACGTCACCGGGTAGCTTCCAGCTTTACTATAAGCAATTTCTTTTCTTTTCCCAGAATGCAGACAAATATAAATACATTTCTCTATATCAAATACATTCTAATGACATTGCAACAGAGCTTAGCCCTCCGGGGGAACCTTGTCTATCTGGCATTTATATGTCTTCCTGATGGACCTTTAAGGCTCATTGCAGGGCTCCGGTTTCCTCCCACCATCCAAAAACATGTTGTTAAGGTAATTGGCATTGACCTAAATCGTCCCCAGAGTGTGAACGTGTGCCACTGCATGGCTGTTGTGAAACGATCGAGTGTCAGCACCAGTCGGCAACAGACGTGTGAATGTTTCCTCTGTAAAGTGCTTCGGAATGTGTCAATTGCAGACCAATCGATGAAATGAACAGTTTAACCTGCTAACATACAAAGTTCTAGTTATCGGGTGTGATGGGTCCACTGAGAACGTGCACAGTCTCTGAGAGTGCAGAATTCCTGACATGCCGAGCATGAGCAATGCTAGAGGATAGAGGGAGAAAGCCAGGTCGGCTTCTGTAAGGGAAGGCACGTAGAAAACGCAACTATGTGCCTGTACTGGACCGGTAATAACAGCTGTCATCACTCATATTAATAATATGGGCCATCACCAGTATGCAGCCTATAAGATATATAAGCTGCGATGGTTGCCAAAGTATTTGGGTGATTTTCATCTCTTGCTGCTAAACAACATCAACTCTTGCTTGCAACCTCCGGTGAGATGGTCTTCAACAAGCGGTTAGGTCTCCCCAAGATTAAACCTGCCCAGGTAGCCTAGCTTTAAGGTTCTAGTTCCAAGCCCGATGTGATGAAATTTTTAGCGTTACAATGTATATTGAAGTCTTGCTTCAAGAGAAGCTACGAATCGGCAAACATGGCAACTATCGATGGGCACTTCTAAGTGAAGGAGTAGTGCCCTGTTCTCATTGAAAGGGGAACTGGTGGTGACTGGTTCCGTCACACCAAAATCGTATTGCCGCAAGAGATGGTCACGCTGGTCAATAAAAGGTAGGATATGAACCGTGTCGATGGACATTGGGTACTGGGTGAGCGTCATTTGGAAGTCACGGAGCACTAATGCTGGGGCGTTCTAAATGACGGACAAGTTCCCATTACTCAAAGAAAAGAGAATTGTCTATGACGGGTTCTATTATGCCGAAATCAGACTGCCACAAAGGATGGTCACACTGGTCAAGCAGCACCAGTTAGGATATCATCTATCTGCCCAACCTTAACACTGATGATGGGCATTAGGCACTGGGTGGCCGTCATTTAGAAGTCAAGAATTGATAAATCTGGTACGTTCTAAATTATGGAATGGTTCCCTTTGGTCACAGAAAACAGAATTGTCATTGACTGGTTCCATCACACCGAAATCAGACGGCCACAAAGGATGGCCACAGTTGTCAAATTGCCAGCAACGAAAGGTAAGCTATCACCCATCTGCCCAACCTTAAAACTGTTGATGGCAACTGGGCAACCCTCATTTAGAAGTTAAAAAATGCTAAATTCTAAATGACGCATTCTTTCTCTTTACGCAAAGAACAGAGAACCCTCCGAGACCGGTTCCATCACACCAAAATCAGACCGCCACAAACAAAGGGTGGTCACAGCGGTCAAAGTGCCAAAAACCAAAGGAAGGGTATCACCCATCTGTCCAACCTTAAAACTGTCAATGGGCACTGGGTAACACTCATTTGGAGGCACTAATCTGGTACGTTCTACATTGGTCACAGAAAAGAGGATTGTCATTGACCGGCTCCATCACACCGGAATCAGACTGCCACAAAGGATGGTCACACTGGTCAATCCCAATTTGCAATGCCAAACGAAGTTCATACATTACCTCTAATTCTCACACATTCGTTAAACTGTTCTTCCTACAATAACCCGATCCTCACCAACATCAAAATATCATTTCCAACACCGACACATACGCAACTCTTCTATTAGTCCACGACTACTTCCACCTGATGTTTCTCTCTCTTTCTCTCACTCAGAATTCCATCTACAAGCACCTATCATCACCTCTGCCAACAATTAGCAACTTCAACGCACGTCACAACTCATCGCATACCAGGTGCACACATCCAGACATAGTTATGGCAATGTGCCCCCC